AACTGCCCGGTAAACCGTAGGCAGAGAGGGAGAAGAGGACAACAAACGAGGGGCTGTGACAAACTGTTTCGTCGGAGTTTCACCGACTCATCAGGAGGCTGAACCCTATATATATAAATCTTCTTGATCGTACCAACGGGCCTAGCTCACAAACTGTCGAAACACAGGCCCGAGTTCGAATCCAAATCCGATCATCAGATGACCATAACAAAATCATTCTGAATTTCTCAGCGCTGGTCAGTTCAATGATGATATCTCAAGGCCATCACCCTTTTCTTGACTTGGAAAAAAAAAACTGGCGGTTCATAGCCAGTGAACGTTTCATCACCATTCCCTCCCTCGTTGCAAATTCCTTCTTCCTCCAATGCCTGTAGCAGGTAGCCTTCGTGGCGTGTGTCGCCACGAAGATCAGATTAAAGGATTTTTTATATATATATTTTTTTAAATACCATTTTTATGATCAAGGGCTGCTTTTACCACCTCCACTACCGTCTTCCCCCGAACATAACGCACCCATACAAGCTATATTTCTGGCCAGATACAGCCAAAATAAGGGTGCGTTGTGTTCGGGGGAAGACGGTAGTAACTCCCGGCGGACTTCGAAAAAGAAAAAGGGACAACTTCAGTAGAGTCACAGAAAGGAGTTATAATTTTTGCACTATGGGGCAAGATACAGTTTGCAATTGCACTTCAGGCAGCCTACCTGGACAGAAAGCTGGGTCGTATACATTGCCCGAACTGCAATTCCAATCTGTATCTTGGCCCATAGTGCAATTATAACTCGTTTTTGTGACTCCCGTGTAGTTTCCCCAAGGAAAAAAAAAAGAAAGAAGAAGAAGATGGCCGTATGACCGAGGGGGGTCGGACCGAGGGAGGGGTTAAAGTTAAACACACCCCACCTCCCCACCCCATGTGGCTGAATGTACACAGCACTACACTACACACCCATGAGCTTTCTCACACCGACCTGAGTTCGAACGCTTGTACAATCACAAGAATGAAACAATTACTCTACCAAGTTACTTAGGGCCGGTCAGGTTCCATGATGATGAAACCACAAGGCTGTCGCTCTTCTAGAGGGGGGGGGGGGGGGGGGGAAGAACAAGAAAAATGAAAAAAAAGCACCATCATCGTCACCATCAGCACTGGCCCAGTTTCAACATCACATGCATGCCACGCCCTGTCCAATTCCTCCCTCCTCCTCTAGCCTCCTTCCTCCCTTTTCTCTTCCTCTTTCTTCTTGTTCTTGCACAGAGGTAGACATAGCCATTATCACCATCATCATCGTCATCGTCATCGTTACTGAAGCAGAGTTCGCGATGCACTTCTCATCATCGTCGTCATTGTAATCATCGTCGTCATCGTAATCATCGCCATCATCGTAATCATCATCACCAAAGTCATGGCCATATCGTCATCATCGTAGCCATCATCACCGTCATCGCCATATCGTCATCATCGTCACCATCATCATCGCCATCGCTATATCGTCATCATCGTCGCCATCATCATTGCCATCGCCATACCGTCATCATCGTCGCCATCATCATCGCCATCGCCATATTGTCATCATCGTCGCCATCATCATCATCATCATACTCATCGGGCCTCGCTGCACGGCACACCAAACAGAAAACAAAACGAGTGCATCTTCCCACAGGAACTGGACTGATTCATCCATTTACTATACATAGCAACAAATGCATTTCACAATCTTAGTGGGCACATGCACTCGTTGCTCGTTCTCGTTCCGTTTGCCGTGCGGTGAGGCCCATCACCCTCGTCATCATCATCGCCATCTCGTCGTCATCGTCTCCATCTGAATCCTCCTCCTCCTCCTCCTCCTCCTCCTCCTCATCATCATCATCATCATCATCATGGATTATGAAAAAATGAAGAAGGGGACTAAAGGCGTTAAACAATATGACTCGTCAATCAAAAGTTGTCATCCAAGGCCTCACCATAGCTGCTTTCTATGATGGAAGTTTCAAAGACAATGCCATTAAAAAAAAAAGGCACGAAATCGGGGCTAGTCCGAGGGGCTCAAGCAACGGGCAGGACATTCACACAGCAGTCGGGCAGTGAGGCCGGTGACCCACAAGCAGGATATGCAGGCGGGGATCGACAGTCAGACGAACGAGCGGGCAGGAAACTATCGCCTTCCCCCAATATAGAGCGGACGGTCTGCATTTGGGGCAGCTGTCGGTCTAGATACAGCCATAATAACCGTACATTCTCTTCGGGGAAGGCAGAGGGTAGGCGAAGGAGTACACACAGAGACGACGGAGGGTCCTTCCGAACATCCGTTAAAATTGGAACGATACAGAGAAGATTAGCATGGCCCCTGCACAAGGATGACACGCATAAATCGAGACGACGGAGGTAGGCAGATGAGTACACACACAGACAGACAAACAAACAGACAGACAGACGCCGAGACACACAGGCACAGACACACCAGGGCAGACTGACAAAGATAGGACCTCAGTGCACTGCAGAATACTCTACGTGTATCTGGAGATGGTACTTGACCTCACAAGATCCAAGTATGTCCTGATTGTGTCCATACCTAGTATTTTATATATCTATATATATCGTCACAAACAGAACTGCCCGGTAAACCGTAGGCAGAGAGAGAGAAGAGGACAACAAACGAGGGGCTGTGACAAACTGTTTCGTCGGAGTTTCACCGACTCATCAGGAGGCTGAACTATATATATACATATATGGTCACAAACAGAACTGCCCGGTAAACCGTAGGCAGAGAGAGAGAAGAGGACAACAAACGAGGGGCTGTGACAAACTGTTTCGTCCGATATATATATTTTAACTGAATTGTATTTTGTTTTTTTTTTGGAAAAGGCGTAATGATTATTGTCGTGCCCGGAAATGGGCCCGCCGCCCCTCACAAAGTTCGCTGCAGCACACAAGCTGATCAAGGCTCTCTGGCGAAGCAAAGGCAGGGCCACGACTGTGGCAAAAAGAGCAACCCCTGCCTCTTGTCTTCTATTCTACTACTTGAACCCATTTCTTAATCAGATTAAAATCAGACTAAAATCTAAAAACGCCATAAAATCACCTAAAGAATTTCGATGCCACCCTGAGGCAAAAGTAGTAAGCTTTTTAAAATAAAAAATAAACAAGTTGTGCAGTTTATTTTTCTGCATAAAGTTTTTTTTTGGATTTTTTGGATTTTTTTTTTTTTGCTAGGATCTTCCCTGGTCCTTGCACGGCCAGGCCGTCCGAGAAAATAGGGTGACCCGGGCGGCCCGGCTGGTAGCCTAGGTCAACACCTTGAAAATGTTGCTTCAGTATGAATGCATCTGGTCCATGTAACGGCAATTTCATGAAGACGGACATTTTGTATTTTTTGAGCGAAACTGAAATCGACAAAATTGGCCCAATTCAGGTCAAGATTTTGTAGTAGCTTTTGAGGGTCCAGCGATCTTAAAATGCAGGACCCCCTGGAGTATCTGGACTTAGCTGGAGTCCAGGAGGGGGCTTAAAACGCCAGACCACCTGGATGTATGTGGACCTAGCTGGAGTCCAAGGGGGGGCTTAAAACGCCGGACCCACTGGATGTATCTCTACTTAGCTGGAGTCCGGGGAAGGGGGGCTTAAAACACCGTATCTGCACTTAGCTGGAGTCCAGAGGGCCTGGAGTATCTGGACTTAGCTGGAGTCCAGGGGGCTTAAAACGCCGAACCCCTGGATGTATCTCGACTTAGCTGGCGTCCAGGGGGGGGATTTAAATGCCGGACCCCTGGATGTATCTGGACTTAGCCGGAGTCCAGGGGTTTATCGCATTTAAAGAACGCCAAACCCTCAATTTCATCAAAATTTCAACCTGGTTCAGGCTGAATCGGGCCAATTTAGTCGCTTGCAATTTTATTCAAAAAAAAATAAAAAAGTACGTTTTGATGAAATTGCTCTCACATGCAGTCTACAGTCTTCCCCCGAATACAACGCACGGTCATTATAGCTGAATTTAGACCGAAAGATACACCAAATTCAGCTAGAATGACCGTACGTTGTATTCGGGGGAAGACTGCAGGTAGATGTGGAATGTTGGGCAGTGGAGCCCGGTCCATAGCTTACATCTTCTTCTTCTTTACCTAAAAAGGAAAGGCTGACTTGCGAATAGGTAGAGATGGCCCATAGCTTACATATTTACGTAAAAAGGATAGGCTGACCCGCGAATAGGTAGATGGCCGACTCAGCGGATAAATAGGTGGGTCCATAAATAGGTGTGGGTCCATGGATGGCTGCATGTTAAGGATGGGTAGGTGGGTAGGCGTTCTCCCCTCTTATACCCCAAACATTTCCCACTATGGCAATCAAACCTGGACTACCTGACCTGCAGAGTGGCAGCCGGCAACATAGTACGCCTGGTCATTATCACTGTATCTGTATCTAGTCTGAAAGTTGCACAAAATACAGGCATAATGACACGGCGTTTTCCACCCTCGCCTGCACTTCTATGTAGGCAACGTGGCAGACAACGTGCAGAGGGGGAAGGAAGGGAGGGAGGGAGGGAGGGAGGGAGGGAGGGAGGGAGGGAGGGAGATATGAGAGGCTGGGTTGGGTGGATGAACGGGTGAAAGCAAGGATGGATGGAAGAATGCGAAATCTCTCGAGTATAGACCTTTTTCTACCTCCCCCTCCTCTACACCCACCTCAACCCACTCCTCTGCATCGTATAGTCATCCAGCGACAGATACACAACATTCACTCGGTCATGCAGTAACACCAGATACACGGCATTCGACTTTCACTTGGCATTCAGGAAATCTACACTCACACAGCGAGAGAGACACACACAGAGAGAGAGAGAGAGAGAGAGAGAGAGAGAGAGAGAGAGAGAGGGCCGCTGCATCGATGACTGACAGGTGGGGAAAGTATGAATTGGGGATGGAAGGTAAGCAGGAGGATAAGTGTGAGTGAGGCTTGGAGGAGGAAGAGGAGGGGGGGGAGCTTGAAGGAGGACGCCGTGAATCTGGTCTTACTGCATGACCAAGTGAATGGCGTGTATCTGCCGTCGCTGGATGACTGTGCTACGCAGAGGAGTGGGTTGAGGTGGGTATAGAGGAGGGGCAGATGTAGAAAGACGGTCTATACATGAGTGCTTTCGCATTCTTCCATCCATCCGTGCTTTCACCCGTTCATCCAGTCACCTACCTCCCTCCCTCCTTTCCCCCCCCTTCCCCCTCCACATCACTCTCTCTCTCTCTCTCTCTCTCTCTCTCTCTCTCTCTCTCTCTCTCTCTCTCTCTCTCTCTCTCTCTCTGTGTTATGTGTGTACAGAATTGGGGGCCGTGTGGCGAGAGGAAGTGGCCTGGGAGGGGGAGAGGGGGGGAGGGAGGGGGGGGGAGAGGTCCGTGCGCGTAAACGTGCACGGGAATCACAAGCAAGCAGCTGCCCTCTTCTCCCGAATAGAACGTACGGTCATTATATCTGTATTTCGGTCAATTTTATGTCTAGATACATCGATAATTAGCCTTCGTTTTATTGGGGGAAGACAGGTGGTCTGCTGGAGTCCCAAGGAAAAAACGGGGATCGGCTTTCGAACGCAACCCAAGGCAATTACTATTGATAGACAAAAAAAAATGAAAAAGGAAATTCCACTTCTTTTCGAAAAGACCATTGACCCACCATTCATATAATTATAATAAGCATCCCACCAACTCGCCCTCCCCGGAGTAACAGGGGGCAGCCGCCGCCTCCCCCGGGCCCAGCCCAACTGACAATCAAATCAATTTAACACCAACGGACGGCTACACAGAGAGAGAGAGAGAGAGAGAGAGAGAGAGAGAGAGAGAGAGAGAGAAGGAGAGAGAGTAAAATGTACCTATACGAAACACAGAGAAATCTCCTACACCGTCCGATAAAAAAAAAAAAAAAAAAAAACTCCCATAAAGGGCGAAGAAACAAGAAACAAAAAGAGAGAAAGAGAAAGAGAGAGAAAGAGAGAAAAAGAGA